CTCACTCAGCCACCCTGCCTTCCCCACCTTCTCTTCTCTGTTCACTCAGCCTCTCTGCTCACTCAGCCACCCTGCCTTCCCCACCTTCTCTTCTCGGCTCACTCAGCTGCCCTGCCCTCCCCACCACACACCAGGCCCTGACTCAGCCCACGTCTGACTGGCTGTCCCCGAAGACTGTCCATACACCCTGGAGGAGGCAGCCCCCCGAGCCCGCAAACTGCCTGTGAGACTGTGGCACCAGCATAGCTGGGTAAAGATGTCCCCTTCCAGACATGACACCGGTGTTCCTGGTGGCAGAGTAACCTGTTTGACGATGGTGACAACAGGAACTGTTTTTTTCGGAGGGACGTCCCTGTTTGGTCAAATAAGGAGGTACTTTTTGTTAACAATGTTCCTTTTCTTTCTTTCTCTTTTTACACAGAGTCTTGCTCTATCACCCAGGCTAGAGTGCAGTGGTGCGGTCAGCCCTCACTGCAGCCTCGAACTCTTAGACTCAAGCGATCCTCCCGCCTCAGACTCCGGAGCAGCTGGGACTACAGGCGGACGCCACCACACCTGGATTATTTATTTATTATTTTTGGTAGAGACGGGCTCTCATTATGCTGCCCAGGCTGGTCTCAAACTCCTGGGCTCGAGTGATTCTCCCACTTCAGCCTCCCATGTTCCCTCCTTAATGAGCATGTTGCATGTTTCAGACAAGCCTTAGGGGCTTCATGTCCACTTAGCCATGAGCTGTCTTTTGCAACATCAAAGGAGAGACTGACCTTCTCCCTGAGCCCACCCTTGGAAGCTGTGGGCCCAGCACAGTGGAGATATGATGGGTCCCCAGGTCTCAGCCGCCCGGTCGGGTTTAAGCCTGTACAGAGTGGCTCTCGGGATCCGGTGTCCATGTTTGGCCAAGACACACCTACGGGTGTCAAGGAGCACCATGTTGGTTGGTCGCAGCGAGGTCCAGGAATGGTGGGAGAGTGAGGACGTGCCAGCCTCTGGGCCTGCTTTGAGGGCGAGGGCTGCAGCCTCAGGGCCTGGATGCTTTCAGGCTTGCTGCTCTGCTCTGAATGAAGCAATAAATTAAGGACTTGAAGTGGGAGGGCTCTATAAATGGTTCTGGGTCAAGAAGCCCCAGCTGACGGGGCTCTGCGTCTCTCTTCTTTTTCTATGCCGCCCACGCTCAGTTTTGGGGCTTCACCAGGGCCTTCTCGCTCCCCCAGGGTGCCCAGGATGGAGCACTGTGGGGCTTGATGAACACTTTCTGCAGGCTGGAGGGGCCACTGCAAGGTCCTTGGGGATTTCCCGGTGCGGCACCCTCCTCCTCCAGGCTGCCTGGGCATCTGTTTTAGTTCAAAAGGTGATGGGAAGTCAGTGTGCCCAGGTCCAGACAGTGCAGGTAAAGTGACCTTCCTTTTAGTCCTGTCGCTCTGATAAGGGGCTGGGCCACTTTGCCCGCCAGCCTCCAGCTCGTCTGGTTGTTTATGGCGGGCTGGGCAGAGTGCAGGGTAGGCTGGCGGGAGGGAGAGTGCACGGCGCCTGGCAGCTATATTAAGGCTCTGGTCCTCATGGCTTCCGCCCTAAGAGGAGAAAGGCTTAAATTTAGCAGCAGTGACCATGCCCAGCGGTGGAACTGTCAGCCGCCGTCATCCCGGACACATCCCTAAAAATGGAATAAAAACAGGGAAACGGTTGCTTCCCTTTGCTCATGGGCAAATCCTCCTGTTCCCTTTGGGGACCTCCCTTCATGGATGGGGTGCATCCAGGGCCAAAGTCCCCCAGTCCGGTCAGCACCTGGACTCCTTCTTCTCTACCTGTGGGGACCCTGCCTGTCCTGCACGTCACCCACAAACACCTCCAGGAAGCCTCTCCAGGTAGGGATTGGTGCCTGGTGCCGCCTCCTTACACTGGGGCCTCCCAGGGACCCGCCTTCTACACAAGTGCATGGATTACAGATATGGCCACGGATATGTGGCACCCCCTCCCCAGCAGAGGTGGGGAAACCGAGGCTGGAACGGAAGCAACGTGGCCAGCTCCACTGCACCCAGCACTGTGGTCTGGGGACGCCGTGCTGTGCCCTCTGACTCTGGCACCTTGAGTCACCTCTCTGAGCCATGGTTTTTCTCATCGGGGAAGAGGAAACCAGCGCCTGCTTCCCGGGAGCGGCGAGTGCGAGGATGAGGCACGCGGTGCCCACCCAGCAGCGGACGTGGGGAGGCGCTGGTGTGAAAACCACGACACAGACAGTCGCCGGCTGCCTCCTGCTCCAGGTCCTTGGCCCAGGCAGCTCTGCGTCTTCCCCCTGGATCCCCCGGGACGTCCTCAGGCCTCCTTCTCTCTGGGTCTGTGGCCCCCTCACCCCCTCACTCAGGGTCTGGGGTGCTGAGAACAGGCTGGGCTGGACTTACCTTCCATAGAGAGGTGGATTCCCAAGGTCAGCCCTGCAGGTGGTAGAGGCAGCGACCGTCCCACCTGCGAGGGGACAGACTGTCCTTCCCCAGCCGTGGCCTGGGCTGGAGAGGCCTGGGAGGTCACTGCCACCCGTTTTCCCATTCAGGGACCCAACGCCCAGCACGAGCCCTGAGGCAGATGTGCAGGAACCAGTATGAGGGGGCGACCCTCAATCCCCCGTGCCTCAGTTTCCTCACTGTGCACAGGCACCCGGGAAGGCAGCCTGAGTCTTCTGGGCTTGGAAACAGGACAGTAGCAAGAGAACCCCAACGGCGCCCAGATGCCACATGCGACTCTTATGGGGACACAGGGGCCGCCTTGCCCCAGTCCATTTCCCCGTCCCCAGGTCAGATGAGCAGGGCAGGGCAGGGACTTGAACTGGATTTAGACCCTGAAGCCATCATGGTGCAGAGTTTCTCAAAGTGTGGGCCCCCAGGCACCCAGCAGGTTTGAGGGGTTCCTGGTTAACATGCTCACTCCCGGGCCCTCCTCAGATCTCATGGAGCTGAAAATCCCCCAGCATGGCTCCCACTGCATGGGCTGGAATGAGGGGTCTTGCCTGACTTCTCTCTTGAGCCAGGTCCAGCGGGGGGCAGTCGGCTGAGGAAGTTACTAGAGCTGCTCGCAATCCCCACCCCAGTGCCTGATAGGACGGAGGAGATTGGGAGAAGACAGGGAAGGCTTCCAGGAGGAGGTGGGCTTGGCTGGGAGGACGCTCTGAGCAGCGACGCAGCCTGGGGGAATGGAGGTATCCACCAGCCCAGCCTCTCTGCTGCACCTCCGGAACAGGCCCCAGGCCTGTTAAGCGCCACTGCCGAGCCTCACGCCTGCCTTGCCCGGCACCCCTCTCCCAGCCGCTGGGGACCTGGGGGGCACTGGTGGTCCTGAGCATCATCAGGGCCTGGAGATGTCCTTGAGGGCACCTGGGGGGATGCAGGGGGCCGGGGATGTTTCCGAAAGCAGAGGATGGCCGGAAATCGCTAGGAGGATGGTGACCAGCAGGCGGGGCAGGGCTGGGAGACCCCACGGGTGATGGGTGAGGGGAGATGGGAGACTCCACGGGTGATGGGTTGGGGGAGATGGGAGACCCCACGGGTGATGGGCAGGGGGAGGGAGAGTGAGGTTCAAGGCTTTATTTCACTTTTCCTGTGGCTTCATTTGTCTTTTTTAGAAAAGATGACATCACATAGAAATGGGCTGGAAGAACTGGAGGGACAGCTCCAGGACAACTGGACGTGCTCCTGAAGCTGACGCCAGACACGACTGGTTTCCAATATAGGGCGGTGCACTGGGGGTCTAGCTGGCTCACAATGTTAAAAATATTTTTGAATCAAATTGGAAGACTTAAAATTCAGGTTTCTGGCAATGCTGGAAAAATCAGGGCTTGTTGGTGAAGGGCGGCAGCCGGACGGAGGCGAGGACGTGCTCCCCGCAGGGTGCTGTGGCCGCCTGCACCACTCCTCCGCTCCCTGTGGCCTCCCGACATGACGTCACAGGCCATCCACAGCTGTATTGGGTAGGGTGCCTCTTGCCAGCGTCACCCACTAAGGTATCATCCAACCCAGTGTGGAAGGGGCTTGCAAGGGAAAGAGGGGTCACTCACAATTCTCCTGGGACAAGAGACTAAACTGCCCGGCCCCAGATACGCCAGGACACGTGGCCACGTCATCACCAGCCCCAACAGCGCTTAGATGGGTCAGGACAGGGCTCCCAGACAATTCACTCTGCCTGTCAGAAACGGTCATGATACACAGATTCCGCCAGAACAAGGCCCATTCCCATGCCCTCTGGAAAAACCGTCCAAACAAGTGTGTAAGTCTGTGATGACTGCAATGTGAGCGGCTTCCCCTCGGCGGAATCCTGGCACCGTGCGCGGCCCGCACTCCTATCCCTGGCAGTCCTGCACCCGTTGCGGGAAAAGTTCTCTGCACCACAGGTCCGTCCATCCACGTGGGCAACGAAGGGCAGCCCAAGGCCTCAGAAGGCCCATGTCCAGCTGCTCCCCTCATTCCTCTCCCCTGCTTGGCCTCAGGTGCTTCACTTGGAATCTTGGTTTTACACCAGGAGGTTGATTGTTTTCCCCCAACTGCTACAACTCGTAAACATATTGACGGTGAGCGTTGATGACGGAATTCAAGTCGGCGGTGGTGCCCTGCGTTGGCCTCTGCCGCAGGAGGCCAATGTGATCCGGAGCCTTGGGCTGCACCTGGGGAGTCCCTTGCTGTACGTGGGGTGGGGAGTTGAGCCCTTTCCCCACCAGCCTTCTTGCTCTGGGGCCCGACTGCTGTCTGCACAGAAGGCCTCCCCACCGCCGTGTGGAGACTCCAGGAGACCCAGTCTCTTTGGGTGGGTGGGCCTGCTGGTCTCTGCTGTGCTGCAGCAAAGCAGGCACGGAGGTGAATCAGTGGGTGCTCTGTTCCGGGCTGTTCCCCTGACACGGGCTGGCCTGGGGACCTAGGCCAAGGCCAGCGCACACCAGGCCTCTTGGCGCAGAGGCCCCCCGAGGCCAGCCTGGGGACTCAGGGCTGTGGAGGGGAAGGCAAAGTCCTCAGGCTCGAACTTGAACTCCAAGTGGCCGGGGGCAAGGGAGTCATCCTCCTGGCCGGAGGCCTGCAGGGACAGGAGAGCATGAGAATGCGGGGTGCGGGGTGGGGGGTGGGGAGGCAGCTGTGGCCTCTTAGGTCAGGAGCTCCCATGACCGGGATTTGCCCTTAGGGACCCCTTGATGCCCTGGAATGGCATGGAGGACCCCTCGTGAGGGACTGGGGTTCCCCCATCTGGCACAGAGTCAGCTCTAGGGGAAGGGCCACCATACTGATGGCCGAAGGCCGCCGGTGTGTCCAGCCCACCTGCTGGAAGAGGTTCCAAGGGGCTCCGATGGGATCTGACTTGGCCAAGGAAGCACAGGGGCCCCAGCTCTGGGCACCCCACCCCGTCCCCTTACCTGGGGGGCCATGCCGGGCCCAGGGCACATTGGGGACGCCAGGCTGGGCTTGGGTTTCGAAGTGGCTGCCGAGTTGTCAGTGCTGGGGACAGCAGATGGGGAGGCCGACGCGTTCGTTGTGGATCCTGGAAAGGAAGAGCGGGTGTTTACAGAAGGGCCAGGTGTGGCCTCACTTCCCCTTCCTGCCACGTGGCCAGGTCTCCTCTGGCTCTGGCCCAGAGAGGTTTGGAGACTCCTCACGGTCACACCGTGGGCGTGGGTGGTGGGGCCGGGCATGGCTTCCTTGGCCCCACCTCTGCCCCTGCTGCCCACATGCTGTCACCACCTTGGCCCCCCACACCCTCCAGCAAGGTCACCACAGGGCAGAGCTGAGGGCATTTGGACTTCCAGAGGACTGTGCTTGAACCAAACACACAGGTCTCTCATGACGGAACCGGAGGCACCGAAGGCCATGCCGCAGGAGGGGGCCGACCACAGGGCCTGGCCACGCACCTGAGGAGCCCCTGGTCTTGGCGATGGTCTTTGGCTTCCGCTTCCGTGTCTGGATGCTTTCCTTCTTCATGGCCAGAGGTCGCGGCACCTGGCAGGGGTGGCGAGGGTGGAGGCTGGTCCCTTCCCTGCTCACCCGTGGGCTCCCTGCACAGCACCCCCTCATTTCAGTCCCCCAGAGCCAGTCACTCCTGGAGCTGGCTGTGTCCTCACAGCCCTGGTGGGTCAGCTGCCAGTTGGGCTGGGTGAGGGGGAGCCCGTGGAGCTGGATTCCCATCCCCCTGTCCGACAGAGCTGCCAGTGGCCAGAAGGCACCAGGGGTGCCCAGCGGGCAGGAGCAGTGTCCTTGTCTGGCCCAGGCTGAATGGCTGTGGTGAGCCTCAGTCAGCCCATCTGTGCCATGAGCGTAGCAGGAATAGCCCAGGCCCCCGGGGGGTGGCGCTGCAGTCAGCCGGGACATGTGTGTAAAACAGCCCAGGGGACAACAGCCATCCGGCCAGCCCCTCCCCAGCCTCCTGGTCTGGGAGTAGGGAGGGCGCTCACTAGGAGGCTGGACAGAGGCCTCCCCACCCTGCCCCGGGGACCACACTCACCCCATGCAGCTTCATGTAGAGGCCGCAGGCATTGCACACGGGCTCCCCCTCCGAGTTCCGCCGCCACAGCGTGGTGTTGGTCGTGTGGCAGTTGGTGCAGCAGAGGCCGGCGCGGCGGGATGAGGACTGTGGGGACGAGGGAGACTGGAGTGAGCCCCCAGCCGTGTGCACGGCTGGAGCAGGAGGAAGGAAGCGAGACTCAGGTTGGCCTTGAGGCCACGCAGGACCCGGTGAGAAGGTGTTTGTTTGGAGCATGAAGGTCGTGAGCTCTGCAATGGACCAGCCTGGCAGCTCTGCCTGGACACGCCCTCGAGTCCTGGGAAAGGTAACTTTACCTTCCTGGGCCTCCGTTCTTCCCCCTGCCCAGTAAAAAGGGGGTGATAACAGACCCACTACAGGCCGGTTGTGGGGTTCAGAGCCCGTGGGGGCCGGGCACCTAGACACGGCAGTGGTTTTCCTGTTGTCTGTTTTAGCACCAACCCTGGGCCTGGACCCCGTGATTCTGCAGTGGAGCAGCACCCCAAGGCCACAGGGCCCCCCCAGAGGCCAGGACACAGCAGGCATCAGGGCCTGTGTTACCCCTGTGCACCTGCCTCCCAGGCCGGGGGCCCCATCGGACAGCGTCTGAGGGCTCTGGGTCCCACCTGCCTATGTCTCCCCATTGCTGTGCACTGCACCTGGTGTTGGAGCAAGACTAGACCCATCTGGAACCGTCCCGGAGCCCCAACATTGCCTCCCTCCTTCCTGTGGCTCTCAGTAGAGACTGACCCCCAATCTGGCAGGTCTAGGTCCAGTCAGAGGTCCCGAACCTCCAGGGCCCCCATCCGTGAGCTCAGTTGGGGCTCAGGAATCTGGACTGAGGGAGGCCTGGGAGGCTCCGAGCTGGCTGCCTGGGGAGTCCCTGTTGAAGGCGGACCAGGGGCCTCCCACCAGCTCACGCCGGCCTTTCTCCTGCTGGCCTCACAGGTTGGTGCTTGGAGGGAGGTGGTGTTTGGGAGCTCCAGCCCAGGGCTCCAGAGGCACCTCAGACTTGAAGCCCTTTCCCGAATCTCAGCGCACAGCTCTGCTGGTGGCACCACGCTTCCCGGCCACCTGTCCCCAGACCTGGTTCTCAGCCCCTGCCCTGACCCCATCGGTCCCCTTCCCTCGGGTTGCACGGCCCCCGCCTGGTCCAGGTTCCTGGCCCGTCTTGCCAGGATCACAGTGGTGGCTCTGCAGGAGCTCTGTCCTGCCCTCCCGGCGGCAGCCAGGGCCAGACCATCAGTGTGCCTCAGGCACAGGACGCAGCCTGTGAGGACAAGGCCCCCAGGCTCAAAGCCATGCCCCCAGATTCTCTACCAGGACAGAGCCAGAGAGCAGTCACAAGTGAGCCAGCCACGCTAGGGGAAAAGAATCCATCCTGAACGAGGGCTGAGTGGACCCAGCCAGCCTTAGCTTCACGGTCTGTTACTGCCGTGAGCAGACACAGCCAGCCTCGGTTTCCCCATCTGTTATAGCCTGCCTTGGTTTCCCTGTCTGTAACTGCCATGAGCAGACACAGCCAGCCTCAGCTTCCCCATCTGTCATAGCCTGCCTCAATTTCCCTGTCTGTTATAGCCTGCCTCGGTTTCCCTGTCTGTTACTGACGTGAGCAGACACAGCCAGCCTTGGCTTCCCCATCTGTTACAGCCTGCCTTAGTTTCCCCATCCGTTATAGCCTGCCTTAGTTTCCCCATCTGTTGTAGCCTGCCTCGGTTTCTCCATCAGTTACTGCCCTCCATGATCAGATGAGGGCCGGCCTTGCTGACCATCTCCTGCCCACCCTTTTCCAAGCTGCTGCCAAGGGCACAGGCCTCCCTGTCCAAGGCCTGAGTGGGAGAGTGGGGCCTGCCTGCAGCCCTGAGCACCAGCCAGCCCCCGAACTCAAGACCTCCTTGACCCCCAGCCGTGGCTGCAGGCAGTTGCCAAAGGCTCTGGGAACGCTGCCCCTGCTTCGTCTGGGGCCTCCTGTCTCCAGGCAGGACCCTGCCCTGCACTCCATGACAGAGGCAGAAAGGAAAGGAAGGGGTCCGGCCAGTGAGGCTGGGGAGGCTTGAAAAGTGCCTCAGCTTGCAGCTCCTGGCCTGACTGGGGGAGGACAATGTCCCCTACCTTAGGCCAGTAGCATCCAGCCACTCAGGGTCTCCAGGGGTCTCCCTGGGGGGATGTTGGGGGTGAGACTTGTGCTCACGCTGGAGGGCCCAGCCCAGGCCCCAGCAGAGCTGGAAGGGAGATGGTGCCTGGCCCCGGCTGGATGGGGGGCACCCTTCGTGCAGGAGCAACTGGGGTCACCCAGGGCCCCCAGCTGGTGTCTCTCCCTGGGACGCCCCCGCCACACCCTGACGGGTCTAGAAGCAGCTACTGTGACTGGACAGCATTTGAGTCTGGTCCAGCCTCCCTCTCTTCTATCCCTGTCGGGTGCCAGGAGCTGTGGCTGCTTCCTTGGTAGCCTCAGGCCACCATCCAGCATGAGGCATGGTCTCCTTCCCACGTCTCGGACAGCCACCCATCTGTCGTCTTCCTGAAGTGGAAAGAAATCTCCCCCAGGGCTGCCAGACGTATCGACCCAGCATGCCCAGGTAAATGTGAATTTCTGATACATGATGAATCCTTTGTCTCCTGCAATATTTGGGATATGAGGGCTAAAATATTTGTGTTTATCTGAAATCACGTGGAACCGCGTGTGGCCTGGAGTTTATTTGCTGACTCCCTCCTTGTGCCCCAGCAGTTCCCGCCTTCAGACCGAGAGGCATCCATGGCCCAAGGCCCGTCCGCTTCTCTGAACCAGCGGGACCCTCAGGTCTGGGACCGGCCATCGCCCCTTAGCACACACAGATAGGGGTGCACACAAGTGAGCACACTCCACACGTCCCCCCACAGCTGCCAGTACGCCCCGTCGGGGCCACATCTGAGACGCGGGTTGTGGAGAGAAACAAGGTGGGGCGCGTGCAGGACGTGTGTGGGTTGGGACAGCCCCCAGCAGAGGGCACACCCCTCACCCCGCACCCCTGTGAGTTCCAGGGAAACACGTGGAACCCACCTTGAATGTTTTCACAGTAAGCATGTTTCATTTCTATCAAATTAGGAAAACGGGAAAAACACGGACCTCACAACAATTTCCAAAGTGCGTCTTCACCTACCCTTTCCTAAATCTTCACCAAATCACCATTGTACGGGTGGGAGACTGAGGCTCAGAGGAGCTGAGGGACCAGAGGAAACTGGGGAGGCCCAGGGTGGACAGAACCGTCCCCCTCAGCCAGATACTTTGGGGACACGATCCCAGCAGCGTGCCCGCGCTGGGGCTCCCTGTGCCACCGTACCTCGATGATGCCTCTATCCGTCTCTCCTCACTGCCCAGCAAGCAGCCCCCAGGCCTCTCTCCCGGCTGTGCTTCGTTTTTCTTTTTTGTCGGTTCTTTTCAACAGAAGTCAAACTTCAAAGCCTGCTTGCGTGCAGCAGAGCCGCTCTAAGCACCAGGCTCTGCGTGCATCTGAGACATCCAAATAAATCAGGCTCTGGGCAGGGCAGGGCCTGGGCCGGTGCTGGCGGAAATTCAAGGAGCACGGGAGAGGGAAGGAGGTTCAGCCTGAGCCTGTCGTGCAGGGATGACGCGCGCACGCCGGGAAACACTTTGGAGTAAAGGTGCAGGTCACAGCAACCCGCAGCGCAGCAGCCTCCTCTGAGATGGAAGACCGGGCTGTGGACAGCCAGAGGCTGCTGTGCCACTCTCTGAGCCTTGGGGACCGGTGAGTGCTGGAATGTCTCCAGATTCAAACGGGTCCCGTCTTGGAGGGAAGATGTAGTAAGCACCTGATACAGCGTCTATGCCCCTTGCTGGCTGAGGGCAAACTGACTTGGGGACTTGGGTCTGTGAGGGGCTCGAAGGAAGGAAACCCTGGGGTTGGATGGGTGTTAGGTGCCTGACTCCAGGTAAGGGCCAGGCTTGCTCAGCGGGAAGGGACGGTTGGCCCCATGCGACACTGGGCTACTTCCTGGAGCTGGTGCCAGAGGTGGCCCTGGGTTAGGAGGTCTGCTGCCCGCACTGCCCTTGGCTGCCAGGCTCCAGGCTTCAGCCCAGGCTCCAGTGTTCTTGGGGGTGGGCTGCTAGGGGCCCAAGAGCTCCCAACCGTGTCCATGCACAGAGCCAGACCACGGGGAGAGGGTACGGTGGTACCAGACGGTCCCCACCCTCCGAGGCCTCTGGTCTTGGCAAGATGGACAGGAAACAGGAACCTCCCCCAGAAGGCATCCCAAAGTCCACCCTGCATCCCCCAGACCAGGCAATGGAGGCCTCATCACGCCAAGGGCCCCCATCAGCCCGTCCTTAGAGCCAAGGCCCAAGCATACAATACCGGCTAATTTAATCTTTACAGAGAGGCACGGACGGTTCCAAGTTCCTCTTCCCAATTCTCAGATGAGGAGACAAAGCTCAAAGAGCTGGGGAACGGTCTACAAGATGCCACAGCCTAGGAGTCTGGGATCCAGCTGGACACAGGCATTGCCCGGCTGGAAGACCCAGGGCAGGGCAGGGCAGCAGGAGGGGCTCCCTCCCAGCAGCTCCTCCTGACACCAGTGTGTCCCAGTGCCCAGTTCAAGGCCTGGCAGGGGAGAGTGGATACAGCCAGAGGAGGGACAACCCTTTGCACGGGCGAGGGTGGGGAAGAGAGATCTGGGCTGCAGTCTCATAGCAGCTGGGCCAAGCTCCCTACCACTTCTCTTTTTTTAAAAAAATTAATTTAATTTAAATCAAAATGTAATTATTCAATTTCTTTTCTTTTCTTTTCTTTTGTGATGAGGTCTTGCTCTGTTGCCCAGGCTGGAGTGCAGTGGTGCCATCTCGGCTCATTGCAGTCTCAGCCTCTCAGCTCAAAAGATCCTCCTGCCTCAGCCTCTCAAGTAGCTGGGACCACGGTTGTGTGCCATTGTGACCAGCTAACTTTTAAATTTTTTGTAGAGACCTGGTCTCCCTATGTTGCCCAATGCTGGTCTCGAACTCCTGGGCTCAAGTGATCCTCCTGCCTCAGCCTCCCAAAGTTCTGGGATTACAGGCGTGAGCCACTGCACAGGACAACTTTATGTATTTTTACAGACAGAGTCTCCCTTTGTTG